AAAACACACACACTCCCACATCTGTACACACACTCCTGGGCTTACATTACCACTCCGGTGCCTCATTATCACAATTTGTTTCTGTAAAAATAAACAGCAGCATTTTCCACTGACTGAGAGCTGCAGAATAAACAATTTATTACAACTGACAGAAGCGCTAAGCTAAACTGATTCTAACGTGTTGCAAGTTGGATTTAGCCAAGTTACAGGCAACAGAGAGGGATCGCCATGGTTAAAGTTCAACAATTACAACAATTAAAAGGTTTTATAATCTCCAAAGAGCATAACACTTTAAATTTAAAATACCAAAAATAATTTCTGCATTTCAAATCTCAAAAAAATCAGGTGATGTGCTGTGTTGCTATTCCACCAAACATACCTTTTAGAATGTTATAAAATTTCAACCTTGATTTTATCAGACTATAAAATATTTACTAAGTATTTGAGAGACTTTGAATGTATTTTTGCAAAATGCAGCCAGGTCTTATTTGCAAAAAAATGTTCTGCTTTTTCTCAAATTCCCCACAGCTAAGACATATGAAGAGTATGGGAGGTTGTTGTCATGTTGTATTTGAAATATTATGTTGTTAAGGCCTTCTGAGAAACTCCTTAGATTGTTTATATCTTTTCCTAGGTTTTTCGTCCACTTGGATTGGACTTTGTTTTGTACCTTTCTCCTTTTGCAGTGAGATGCAACCCTGACCCATTTGAGAACTGCTGACCCACTCAAAGATGCTTCTAATGATGGCGCTTTCTGTTTGGCGGTTTGTTCTAAAGTCCCATCATTCTAATACAGACATCCGCAGGGTGTGCACTGTTTTGCAATTATCATGTTTTGTTCATTTTTCCCCAAAGAAAGATATCAGATTTTCAACTCAATTGTACATTTTATAATTGATTAAAGGTTGAAAAATGTTCTGCGTGCATCTTCATTTATTTTTTTTTTTTTTTACACAATAACACCTGCCCTTTTAGAAGGTTGTGTAAAGATTTTTCAATTTTGAAAGATTGTGCCCATATTTACATGGCACAGTACAAGTGGGAAGTCCCCAAATTTAAATAGTTTATCTTACCACAACCGTTATCTGAAGAGTGAAAAACTTCAAGGAACACTGACAAAAGCTGCTCTCTGCTCACAAATAAACATGGCACATTTTTAGCTACATATCACTTGTGCTGCCAAGGTTTTCCTGTGCATAATGTCTCTTTAATTTTACTGTAAGTAAAGCACTGAAACATGTCAACATCATGCCTTCTACTGTAGTCCTACAGGGAGAATTAAAATAACTGTATTTTGAGACCAGTTCTGTTTTATTCGACTGTCAGTCACACTGGTGGTGTGCCGCCTTAGGTTTATCATTTTTGTTTTTATATAAATCACATTTACCTTTCCAAAACATTTCCAATAAACAAACATAATATAAAAAATTAAATATTTACTTTTACCCCTGAAATCTAAAAGGATCATATTTGTGCCTGCGAGGTAAGATGTCATGAATAAATATGATTTTTTTTTCTTAAAATGATATTTCTGACCCAGCAAGTAAAGAAGCTCAAGACAGACATCACTGTAGTTTATATGAAATTTAATTTATGAAATGTTTTGGAATCCAGTTTTGACTTTATAGAAGTAGTTTTTAGAAACTTCCTATAGATCTTAAACATTTTCGAAGAAAGACATAACCAAGATTTAAAAAAAATGCTGTGCAGTTCGATTTCACTTTATCTTAAACCAATAGGCTGTCATCGACAGATATATGAATCTAAATCTTGATCAGAAAATGTTAAAATGTTCTTGAAGTACCAGTTTTAACTTACAAAATAATAATTTAAGACTAACAATAAAAACTTGCTTTTGCTTTTTGCAAAACTAGTAACAAATGTGTATATCTTAATATAAAAGTGTTAAAATCTTCTCTAAATGACTGGGGGTTTTCTGTTTGTTTTGAACTATATAATTTTCTTCCAGGCAGTTTTTCTTATTTGCTGCTAATTCCATAAAATAGGTTTGTTCATTTGCAAAAAGAACTATTTGAAATTGGAACCTAACGCCATTGAGGGAGCTTTGTGTCCATTGCCAAACGTGAAAGTGAAAGTCGGCTCAGAAATTGGTAACAGTGCAGTCTGAACGGATCAGTTTTAGTCATCAGTCGGGTGTGTCTGTGTACCAATGATGCCCTCTAGCAGACGCACGAGGCAGGTCCTCACAATTATTATTAATTTGATGTCTCTCAAACACAAGACTTGCAGATTTTGTTTACCTGATGCTAGAATTTGTATATATATACTTTCCATCGTATACATCGTATGCTGACATGAGGTCCATTTCGAATACAAGAACCTTATCAGAACCAGGGAGAGTTTCTGGATTAATTTCTCTAACATCTTCTGGGGCTTTTGGTCCCTGGAAAGCAAAGCCTACTTAAGACCAGTTTTACCATAGTTAAAACTTTAGAGAAATTCTTAAACTTAAAGAGTTTCTTAACAGCATCTTAGTTTGACATCTTGCCTTAAATAATTCTGACTTTTAAAGATGAGAAACAACATGAATCCATTTTTAAAAGACACTGTTTTTGTGTGAATCTGTACCTCAGGAGTGGTCTTGTTGAATACATCTCGACCCTGAATGACATCGGTCATGACTCTGTCCTTCAGCTCCTGATACTCCTCAGCACTCAGTTGGATGGACTCCAGCTCTGACCCACAACAACTACACACACCTCTAAGGAGAGAAATACTTTTTTAAATAAATGGCACAAAACATCACAAAGGGAACCGTGTAAAATGTGTATTTACTTTGGGGTGGCAGTGCTCCAGGCTGCAGTCCATTTCTGTCCATTGAGACTGAAATCAGGAAGAAAGACATAATTGAAGAGAGAAAAGAATGAAAAGTGATGGAAAAAAACTAAAGCATAGGGAATGAACTTTTCCATCACTGCTTACCTCTCGAACCAGCTCTTTATGGCGTTTGCAACGTTCTGCTGGGGATAGATCTGGTTGTTCCTCATGTGCACCAGAACTCCCAGCAGCCTCTCATGCTGCTCTGACTCTGTCATGGCTCCCATTTCTTTTTCCCTCTCACTCTCTTTCACGCCTGTAAAAAGTGCATCCCAGGCCCCCTGATGAGGACTCAGTCCCTTTTCAATAAGTTTGTCGTATAAACCCCAAGCAGTAGTTGCATCTCTGTGACGAACTGCTGCTGCAATAACGTCACTATAGTTACGCGATGATGGTGTATAAACCTAAAATAATACAAATCAAAAGTTAATAAGGAGAGTATTTACTCCAGTCATTTTCCTAAACAAAAATGTTCTTCACCTGCTTGATCAGGATCTCAACTGCTTCCCTCCACCTCGCAGTACGGCTAAAGGATTTAATAAACAGGGTGGAAGCCCCTGTGTCGAGTGAAGGGAAACTTCCACGCATGATTTTGTAGATGTCACACACCTCATCGTCGTGTCCTCCTTTCACACACAGTGTCAGGTAGCGTAGCAGCAGCTCATAGGACAGCGTGCCCTTTTCCATCGCCACAAACGTCAGCAAGGACCTGGAAAAGCAAAGGATGTTCACTTTATACCAAATATTCCTGTTTAGTGAAAGGAAAATTGGCTTAAAACGTTACAGACGCTCTCATCATCTCTTACTTTGCTATGTTCAGCTCTGATCCATAAGTGAATAAGCTTTCCATCATGTAGATGGCAAAACGTTCCTGGTTTCCCAGAGATTCCCTCAAGTCCCTCCATTCAGCAGGAAGCAGAGGCCGTTCAGGAGGCTGACACTTTACTATGAAACAGCTCTGGTTTAGTACAGGAAACAAAAACAAACATGGAAATAGGACTGTGTGATTGTATAAAGATATATGTTAAACTGCAGTCACCATACCCGTCATGCGTTGCTGCTCCTCTTTATGTTGTTCCTCTTCCTCAGAGACTGCTGGCGCCTTCCTCTTCATCAGTTCTGCTGTCCTCTTTGCTGTGCCAGCAGCAAAAACAGATTTGGGAAAAGAGGTCTGCAGCAGCATCCTGGACTTCTTAGTGTTTACATCCTCTGTGCCATGCCTGATAGCTCTGTTTGCTATTCTAGTTTGTCCATTGTTCTTTCTGTCTCCCTGTCTGCCTCCCAGGTTTGGCTTAATATCTCTTGTGCATAGAAAGCGTGCTGTGGAGGTCAGCTGTGGTGACATGAAACAGATTCTGAATTTTAATAAGAAGGTAGAACCCATTCTTGAATGTGTATCGCTTCAAAAATATTCTCATGTAGGTGAAGCAGCAGTGATACTTTATCTGTGTTTTAAAATAGAAATGTTAAAGTATTATTTTTCCATACAAACTACATTCTGTGTAGGTCATTTCTGATCAAACTACCACTTACGAGCCAATTTTCTCCTTTAAAATATCAGCGGTACTTTTAAAAAAAAGTCTTGCTGGCTTATTTACTCATAAATATAAGTCAAGGTAACCAATGTCCACAAAAACTGGGACTAAATCATTTCCGGTTGTTTCCAATCGTAGGCATTAGTTCCTGGACGCACGGCTACCACGTCATCACCAATAGACTGGACTCCAATGCTGCATTCAAAGTACCTCGAAAAACAAACTTATGCACCATCTTCTTGAGTGATTTAAAAATAAAATTAAGCGAAAAAGTAATATAAGAACAAATGTTCTAATAAAAACTAAAATATACTGACAATTTTGCCCATTTACATGTTTCTCATATTTTCACAATGAGGAGTTAGAAATTCCGTGACACTCGGATTTCAGCAAACTATCTTTGTTTTAAAAATGGTTGGTGGCTTTCAAAATAAAGGTATAAAGGTATGAAGCCAAGAAAATAACAGACCGTGCCCAATTAGAGTCACAAAATGTATCCCTAATAATTTTAAGTGCTACCACAATGTTTCTAAAACAACACGATTCACAAATACATTTTAACGGAATTATACAGACAATGTACTTTTATTATGAAAGTATGAACTTCTCAACGGAAGTGACAGTTGGAGCCAGTTTTGTTGTTTGTGTCCGTGTCTGTTTAGTGAGTTACTGATTATTCATTTCGGTTTTAATGAATAAAACTTATTCATTTTAATCTTTGGTGCCGGCATGGCTAAAGAGGAAAACACACATTGGTCGGAGGTTCTGAAAAGGAGGCTGGCTGGCTTAAAAAAAGGTCAGAAATGATCAAATTGACGTTTAAAGCGCTAACGTTGACGCACCAGACAGTTTTTTTAAAATGTCAGATTAGTGGTTTTCAATGTTTTCTTCTTGTTTACCGTTTACTGTTTTTTGAAGACTCGAGGAACGAAGAGGAGAAGAAAGCAGAAGAGACGGAACTTTTCACCAAGTATTACTCGGAATGGAGAAGCGGAGTGGAAACAGATGAGTCCTATAAGACCATCCCACGGTTCTATTATAAGGTAACATGTTAATAAAAAATCTTTAACTTCAGCAGTGCATTAGACTCCTGATTGTGGGGGTGACGTGTAAATGAATGACATGTTGTGATGCTGTGAAGCTTCCGGCAGAAGATGAAGTTCTGCTGCAGAAACTGAGAGAAGAATCCAGAGCTGTCTTCCTGCAGAGAAAAAGCAGAGAGCTGCTGGATAATGAAGAACTTCAGGTAAAACATCTTTTCACCCATCATAGAGTTTGTATAATCAGTCCCCTGGTTTTTGCATCTTCTTTGTTGAAAGCCTATCCACTGCTGAAATATCTGACTTACATTTACACTATCATATTTATGCAAAATAAATAAAAGTAACCAGACAGGACAGATGTAGAGCTTAGACTTGAACTCACCTCAAATCTCTTGTTCATTTCTGCTGATCTATCTTTAATAGCTCTCATTCTGTTTGTTTTTGTTTTAGAATCTGTGGTTTCTGCTTGATAAGCATCAGGTCCCGCCAGTAAGTGGTGATGAGGCGATGATCAACTATGAAGCCTACCTTCAAGTAGGGGAAAAGGCCGGGCCAAAGTGCAGGTAGGTACCTAACCTACAATTTGTTCTCTACTGGATGTAAAACAGGGCTCCTGGCTGATTAGTTGCTAAGTTGGATGTGATAACATCTTACCTCTTACACTCATTTGCTCAGATAATGGTAATGCTCCTCAGCCTTATATCTCAGGCAGAGATTATAGACAAACTTCATTTCAGATAATTGGATAAAAAAAAACATATTTTTTATTAAACAAAAAAGACACATTTATTTGATTTTGAAATAACGATGGTTGTTCTCACATCTATTATTTTCAGCACAGTAAAGAAATAATTGGATCAGACGTAGTAAATACTCCAGGTTTTAGAGGACTAAAACTTTAAATAAATCTTGTAAAGTTAAATATTGTCCTCACTGGAGGATGGATTAAGCTGAATTTCAAATGGCAGATTGTATCCATTTTTTCACTTTTTCCTGTAGGAATTTTTTTACAGCAAGAGTGTACGCCAAGCTGCTCAGCAGTGACCCATATGGCCGAATATCCATCATGCAGTTCTTTAACTATGTCATGAGGAAAGGTTTGGATATACTTCTTGTTTTTCTTAAATGATATTAGTTACCATCTTCTCATTAATTGTTGCTCCTTTCTGTTCCTTTCCAGTGTGGTTGCATCAAACCCGAATCGGTCTGAGTCTGTATGACGTGGCGGGACAAGGCTACCTCAGGGAGTCCGTACGTTATTTCAATAGAAGTGAATATAAATGTTTTTGTTGTTTCCTCCTCAAGCAATAGTGTTAATGTTTCTGTGTGTGTGTGTGTGTGTGTGTGTGTGTGTAGGATCTGGAGAACTATATCCTGGAACTGATTCCCACTCTGCCCCAGCTAGACGGATTGGAGAAGTCCTTTTACTCTTTCTACGTCTGCACAGCTGTTCGCAAGTTTTTTTTCTTCCTCGATCCGCTCCGCACCGGTGAGTCTAAACTTGACTCGTCATCACCAATGAATTCAGAGGATGTAACGATGCGCTTGTGTTGATTGGATTAGTCGGGCAAATTAAAGTTCTTTATTATTTGTAAGTCAGGAATATGTTAGTGACTGCAGTGCTTACAGGCACTTCATTGCTTGAATATATTAGAAATACTGATGGTTATGTGCAGTTTTAAAAAATTACTTTCCCTTTGACAGGAAAGATTAAAATCCAGGATATTTTGGCCTGCAGTTTCCTGGATGACTTGTTAGAGGTATGATTGTTTTTACCTCCCTGTGAGTGTTTAATATATAGTAAATACATTTCATTAGAGGTACAGAAACAAAACTTTATAAAAGCATTCAGTCTTCTGCGATTTTTTTTTTACTGTTGTTTCTATGCCAGTTGAGAGATGAGGAGTTATCTAAAGAAAGCCAGGAGTCCAACTGGTTCTCAGCTCCGTCGGCTCTCAGAGTCTATGGTGAGAAATCGTAGAAGTGCTTCAGTGTTCTGTTGTTACTGCTTATTCAGATCTTCTTTCTTTTCCTGAAATCTAGATTTCTTTTAATCCTCATGTCCACAGGCCAGTACCTGAACCTGGACAAAGATCATAACGGTATGCTGAGCAAAGAAGAACTGTCCCGCTATGGCACGGCCACCCTCACTTCAGTATTCCTGGACCGGGTGTTTCAGGAATGTCTCACCTATGATGGAGAAATGGTAAAACAGTTTGAACTTTTAACAAGATTAAGATTTAGCTGCTTACCAAGTCAATATGTTCTCTAGAGAAGCATAGAGAGACTCGCTGTTAACCAGAATTCAATGACTTTCAGCTTGATTGTCACCGACGATATGCATGGAACAATCACTAAGCATGGCCAGGTTTCAATGGCAGCAACACTCTTTGGTGTTGATGCAGTTACTGAGTAAGGAAGATTCAAAGGTAGATGTTTTCAGAAAGGTGTTTTAAAATGGAGTCAGAGGAAGAACGGGGATCTAAGAAGCTATTTGAAAGGAAACGTCACAACATGACTGCCTCTGATTCAGACTGAGAGAGAGCAACACTAGTAGCAAATAACAGGAAGGATAATGGGAAAAGTTGCTGTTTCACCCTTTAGATCTTTCAGCTTTTGTCCGTCATGTCGGACATAGGAATTTTGATAATTTTTCATGTAAGGATCTACATTCTCTGCACAGGTTAACTGCGCTGACCGTTCTAATCACAACTTTAATATATAAAAAAACAACAAAAAATTTTGACTCCCTAATTATTTCCCCTTTGTTTTAAAATACTCCCACTGACCTATTTTACTATTGTTGCTCTTTCACACACATGATGTCACCTTTGCTCCTAATTAAAATAATTAATGAACTCTCATGAAATGAAGACTACAAAAAAATATTCTGAATGCTGCTGTCATACCTCTTTTATATCATAGTCCTTCAAGAGAAATATGTAATACCAAGCTTTATGAAAACAGCAATAAAATCATTATATGTTCATTTTTAGCTTTTAATTTTAAAAGGTTTTGTCAAACCAGCTTGTTTCTCTATGTTTTCCGAAACTTTCTGTACTCTTCTGGTGATTACAGGACTATAAGACCTATCTGGACTTTGTACTGGCTCTGGAAAATCGGAAGGAGCCTGCAGCACTGCAGTATATTTTTAAACTTCTGGATATGGAGAATCAAGGATACCTCAACGTCTTCTCCCTGAACTACTTTTTTAGGGTAACAACCAACAAAATGTGTGCAAAGATGATATACGCTGTTTATTTGAGCAGCCTTTCGGGACAAACGGTGTGTTTTGTTTTTTCTTTAGTCCATTCAGGAGCAGATGAAGCTGCACAGTCAGGAGCCTGTTTCCTTCCAGGATGTGAAGGTAAAGCAACCACAGACAGTTTGTACGGCTGTAATGGCGACGTGTACGGCAGATTTGGTAACTGTTTCAAGCACTGTCTGTCCTCAGGATGAAATCTTTGACATGGTGAAGCCTAAAGACCCCTACAAGATCACTCTCCAGGATTTGGTGAACAGCTGCCAGGGAGACACAGTGGTCAGCATCCTGATCGACCTCAACGGATTCTGGACCTACGAAAACAGAGAGGTGCTGGTTGCCAACGACACCGACGGCAGCAATATGGTTGACGTTGACGACACTTGAAGAGAATCTTGACATATACTGGCGGCAGCAGAACTGCTACACCTCTTTTATTTTTTTATGGAGACTGGTTTACAGAGAAGAGGGTTGTGTAAAAAAGACGAAAAAATCATTTGTATAAAGTTATTCTCAAATCACACTCAGTTCAGTTGTGTTTAGTGTCCTCATCCAGGTTGATTACGTAAACCACCTTTTTTTTGAACTGCTGAAACATTACCAGTGGTTTTGCTTATTTATTATTTTCATATTAAGCTCAGTGGTGAAAAGTACTGATCAGATCAGAAGTTTCTATTCCCCCCTCAATCACATTAACGTCAAAATAACTCTGGTGTTTTAATAATGCACTTTCATCATGATTTTATTACCAGTGCTGTAAACATTCCTCTCAAGATTTTGCTTCATATTGTTATGATGGATCAATTGCTGCATGTCGGTGATGGGAATTGCTCTAATGGACTGAGAAGCAGTGAGTATGACCCATAGTGACCTTACTGAGTTTGAGCTTAATGGTTGGGTGCTTTATCCTGCGGGAAGAAGCCACTAGGAAGCTAAAGTCTGGTTTAAAGCAGGAGTTTGCAACCTATGGCTCACAAAGCAAAAAAAATATGTTTTTGATTATGGATCCTTTAAGAAATTGTCATTTTAGGAGTTTTTCCTTAAGTTGTTCTGCAAAATTTGCTCTTAATATCTACAACAGGCTTTTAAAAGTAAACAGCTTCAAACTATGCTTTCAATTTTTCTTCATTTTTCTATTTCTTTTGTTATGGAGGATTTGTTTTGCTTGAAGTCTAAAAATGGAAATAAATTCTGATGCTCAGTGTGTATTTGTGACATCTAAATGCTGTTGTGTGATTGGCTGATTCACTGTTTGTGTTAACAAGTATCTGAACAGGTAATTCAAGGAGTGGCCGGTGAATGTTTGGAGGCGTTAAGGTGAGGTTTTCAAACCAAAGAACTTCATGCTGACTGAAACGTTGGGATGTGGGCCTTTTCACTCTCAGTGTTACTTGTTTATTGCACTAATTGGATAGTGAGAGTGGAAGCTGACTGCATATTTGACACAAATCAAGTGAAGATTGAAACATTTGGCTGTTTTTAATGAGAGCAAGCCCATTAAAACACTAGATGGTTGATGAAGTTAAACTGGTCAAGGTGCAACTATCCAAGTGTAAGTAGGAATGTATGTACTTATTTCAGCCTGTATGTGTAGTTTGGACAAGTCACAAATTTTGAAACCATTTTTTTTCTGATTTTTTTTTAATTGGAAAAAGAACAATTTGAATAAACTGTCAAATTTATTACAATTTATAACATTTTATCTGATGAATGGATGTAATAAAGACAACATCGACCTCCCTTGTAATTTAATATGTACTAAAACTGACAATACAAATACATATCAAGGCAATAGATTCCTATTGAAATGACTAAATATATTGCATATTTTCTGTTTCTTCACACACAAAGACAGGAAGTTATTTACTGAAACATTCATTCAAAAATAATCAGACTGAGGATTATTTTGCACTTCCGTTTCTTTGTTGGCGACACGACTCGGGTTCGCCCTCTGCGATCCGAAGCAGGTCAACATAGTGATATCAGTGGATAACAATAAGAAGCTTAAGATGTTCAAAGCAAGGACACTTATAAATACATAAGCTCTGTAGACATCTCTACAAACCAATAATCATCAGTATATTTCAACATTAATCGATTATTCTGTGCAGATTTAAAGAGCTCGTGGAGTAACAAATTGGGGTATAAATTAGAGGATATATTAGTTCTCTTACAAAGTCAGTTTTTGCCTCAAATCAGCTGACTCTCATCGGCTTAAACCAAAACAAGGGGTAACGTGTAGAAACATCTACTGGAGTGTAATCAAATACCAGAAATCCTCTTTTCTGGGGTTAAACACAAACCTGTTGTAGTAATACAAAAGTAAAGCTCTTAAGCATATACTCAGTCTTTTAATTTCCCTTTATAGCACTCATATAAGGCAAACATGTTGGTGTTTATTGGACTTTTCATTCACAGTTAAAGAGGAGTCAGCACAGAGAGGGGTCTCACAAACATCTTGAAATTCTGAATGTTTTTTTTTTTTTTTTACTCAGCTTCTTAATGTTTCCACATTCAGGAGTCCTGTTTTTTTGGCACCTTTGAATTGTTGAAATACAAGACCACAACTACGATTCACTTTATATTTCACACCCATCATGTACATTTCCCCAATTGAAACCACCACCATTAAAGTGTGTTTCTGCACACAACATGCGAGCAGAACAAAAGGTGATGAAAAGGGACTATACTGTTCCACTGGGATCATGTGATTACTTAGGACTCATCAGGACCTTGTTGTAGAGTAAAAGACACTTCATCCTGATATTTTTTGCTGGAGTAGAACTGAAGAAAACTACCCAGGAAACAGTCTGAAAAAGCCAGGATCTATCCACCTACTAAGGTCTGCAGATGATAAATCTGGTGTAGCATCAATATTTGTCCCTCTGATCGTCTTCATCTCTTTATAACTGATTAAAAAAAAAAAAAACAGAGTAATGCACAGAACAACCCTGGCTTTACTTTGCTGCCTCAGCCAAGGGCTCATTTCCAGGCTGACATCTAGTTTTGCATAGATTACATGCAACACTCAAAGTCAAATTCACAGATATGGCGTTCCGCAGCCACTTCCACTGTTGTGATTAAATTAATCTGTTACAAACAACAAAAAAAAGGGAAATAAAAATTAGTGTGTGGAGCTGAGTAAGTTCGGGTCCAACCAACAATTTGAAATGTGTGAATCAGTTTTTTTCAGGAGGGGAGAGGAGACGGGACTCTGTGTGGATCGGGATTCCTGAGCGACGACTCTGGTTCAAGCTCAAAGCTGACGTTTACAAATGTGGCTCCATTTCCTTCCGGCTGCTCCTTCACCGCAGCCGGATTCTCTTGCTCGCCTCTCCGCTGCGCTGCAAACGTGCGCTCTGCCTCATCAGCGAGACGGTTTTCCTCCTCTTCCTCCTCCTCCTGCGGGAAGAGACAGTTGTGTTACATTTTTAAGGTGAGACTTTCCTGTGACGTGGCTGACATGATTGACGATGGGCCTCACCTCTTTCTTCATGCGGTAGTACTCATCAATAGCATACTGGTACTTTGGAGAGGTGATGCCGAACAGAGAGGCCAATTTCTCCCCCATGTAGTCGCACACTGCAACAAAGATTACACAGAATAGCTGATACAAATTCAAGCATTTCTATAAAGGAAAAGTATATATACATTAAAAGAGTAAAGCTCAATTAAGACACTACCTGAAATAGTGGAAGTTGCCACTCTCCACATGTGGAACCAGAAATAAGGACCCCAGGTCAGTTTGGACTGGAGCACATATACAGGAAAAGATGCTTAATGTCTTCACATAATTTCACATTCAGTTTGTTTATTTCATTGACAAACATATTATTATTTTACAAAGAAAATGTTACTGACCATTTAGAAAACTTCACACGTGTACACAAGTGGATATTTTGTTTTTCTATAAAAATATCTCATCGTCAAATAATGACAACCAAAACGAAGACAGCTGATAGCACAGGTTTCACTTCCAAAGAAAAAACAAACTAACAAAAATTTGGCAGAGCTTTTAAAAACATATTAGAAGTAATATGAGTTAAAAGAAAAACACGCACAAGCAAGAAGGAAAACAGCAGGAAAAAAAAATCACTTAAGAGTTTGAGAGAGATTCACATCATGTGGACAGAAGCTGGAGTCCAGAATTTTAAGAGCCACTAGCAAGACATGAACAGAGCACGGGCTACAACTCTCAAATTAAGAGTGTTAAGCTACTATTGATCTATAAACATGGTCAGAAGCATCTTATGAGTGACAAAGAGAAAGAATAAAAAGAAAAACAAAAAGACTGGACTTTTGATAGGCAGCCCAAACTACTTTGCTTGGATGAAAATAAATTCCACATTTCAGGTGAAAATCTCAGAGTTTAATGAAGAGTTGGGGGCAGGATTAAAGTTACTTGAGGACCAGCATCAAAGGTCAACAATCAGTGATCATTTGGAGGAGTTGACTGGAAGACATTTTTAAAGGGATGTTTCCTTTTGCTGACAAGCTTTGCATAATTTCCCCCTAGGATCTGGCACTTATTAACTGGTTTAAAGTTTCTCTATTGTGATTGTATCAGTCAAAAAAAAAAAATTAACTTTGTTAATAAAACGTAGGTTTAAAATTACAATGAAACTGTCACCTCTATGCCTCAATCTATTTGTTGTATGAGAGAGTACATAAGCAATCCTTGTCCACAATAAATCTATATAATTTTTTTTTTCAAATGAAATACAAAAATATATGAATTATTTTGATTATATTCCAATTCACTGGGGCACACCAACATGAGAAAGAAAAAAGAAACAAATGGAAGCTTTGAAATATTCCAGCTAACTTAAGTGATCTCTGCTGTGCAATAATAGTTCTTTGTCAAACTGTGTTACTGATGCTTCTTTTAGATTCAACAAAAATACTTTAGAACACATTTTTGGCTGCAGCTAAAATCCATTAAGATCTCGTTTATAAAATGTCAACACTGAGTCATCTTTTGAGTTGAAGCCTTGAAATGCCTGAAAGAGCAGCCAAAGTCCTCGTAAAAGTAGCTTTAAAAAAAAAAAAAAAGTCTAGATCATGGTCACTAAATAAAACAGGGCCTTTGCAATCCACTCATCCTACCGTGTCAACTGGAACGACCTGCTTCACATTCTCCTCTTCTTCCTCCTCCTCTTCGTCAGTGCTGTACTCCTCCATGGTTTCCCCGTTGGCGAAGTGAATGATCCTCCGGGGAACCTTCGCCTTCCTCCCCTTACACTCAGCAATCTCCACAGTCTCAAATTCTGTGGACCCTGCTGTACGCTAACACAGCAACAACAACGACAACAACAACAAAAGACTGAATTTAAAGAGCCAGCATCATCATTAAAGTGTTTGTTGGGTTCGTTTGTTTCAGCCGTTAGCTTCTCGGCTAAGGAAGTACTAGCAACAATATCTGGAAAAAAGGCCTTACCCTAACTTAAACACGTATTGAAACGGAAGAATTGTTATTTCAATATACACTTACCACTTCTGCTTCCATAGTTAGCCTCAATGAAACGTTATCATTAGTCAATAAAAGGGACAAATCTTGTCATCCAACTCACACCTTCCAACGCACTGCTACAGACGTTTGAGCTTCTTCCGGTCTTTCAAAATAAAAGGATATTTTTCTCACGTACTTTCCAGTTTCAGAAGTGCCATTTAATTTGACATATTTATATAATCGCTAATGTGAATGAAAATACATAAACATATGCCTTTACGAAATTAATTAAATAATGTTTTCATGACGGCTGTGAGCGCTTGAAAAGTCAAAGTTAAATTTCCTTTTTGTGCACACAACATTGACCAATTAAGATGTTATGAATCTGTAATTTACACAAAATAATAATACAAAATTGAACTTCTGTAATTATGTAATATTAGTGTAATGTGTAATCCCTTCTTGATCTTTAAAAACACTGCTCCATCTACTGTGCTGTGATCGAGTAATTGATCATGTAAATGTGTTTCTTGGTCAATCTTGACCAAGAAAGAAGATTCTGATTGTGATTCTAATAAAAATAACTATTATGGCAGAGGACCATTACATATGCAAAGGCAGAGAACGTTTCAGACTGTAAGGTGAGGGATGCTGGCGTTTCCAGAGCAACTTGTGTGCAGTCCAAGATGACACAGACATTTGGAGAGAACTTCAGAAACTTCTGAGGCATACTGGCTTTTACCTTTCACGACTAATCCACAGGTTGATGGAAGAGAACACAATGAAGAGGTAGTTGGCCTAGGTGATGGTCACTCGGCTGACAGTAGCTATGCTGACTTCAAACATGTCAGCAATGAGCTGCTCCTTGATGCCCACTGCAACCCTGAATGAGTACATCAGGAACTCATCAATCAGAGGCATGCAGCAGACAGGGCTGGCTTCAGCACATGCTTCCTCTCCCAAGTTTCTGTGCTCTGGTCCAGAACACCAGGCGTGATGCAGAGGGTGCAATGGACTCCCAGAAGATCCAGAACACACATTCAGATGGAAATTTGGTGTAGACCCGGATCTGGTCATCAGAGGCACAGTAGCGGCTAAAAAGTGTGGCAGACAAATTCACTTTTTGAAGTCTGGCCTCCAACTTCTTAATATAATCCAGAGCTTCATCAAGTGCACCTGTAAAACCACAAAATAAAATAGCAAAACATACGGTTAGCAAGAAGTTTTAATTATATATTTGAAACATTACTTCTGTGAAAATCAATACACGTTGTGAGTCGGAGCATGTATGCATACAGCCATTGACTTAATCTCTCCACAATATACATAACCACCTAATCTCATAATTTCGTTATTATGTGATCATAATAATAATAACATTATAGCAACAGTTGTATTTTACTTAAATTATCTTACATGGAAAATATATACAATGTACCATCTTTTACCTGCGGGTGGATGTGCCGTGTAGTCATGGTCCGCAGTAGCATCTTCAGCCTGGCTAGCTTTCTGAGAGAGGACAAACTGCCGTTTCTTAGCCCTCTCGAAAGCAGACTCTCTCATTGCCGGTGCAGTGAAGTCATTCCAGGCAAACAGGGAAGGAACAGCTCCACTTTTAAGGCGGCTGGTGGTGGATCCGCTAACAAAATCCTCCGGTGTGAAGTGGCGGCTACATACGAAAGTGCTCCCCGTCTTCATCCAAAAGTCCGGACCTTCATCTCTTCGGATCGCCGGGATCCACTGCCTCCGTTGGTCCGGGTCCGTAGGGAACGCATGATAAGGCTGTTTTCTTGCCCCACATGAACAACCAGGTACTGAACAAAAACAACTACGCCGAGACTGAGCCATTTTCCTAGCCTTTTAAAGCTAACGCTACAGCCACCGGAAGTTGTCCAACCCCACATCCGCCCTGGCCCCGCGCATGCGCACAACCATCCAGTCCCCGCGCATGCGCACCACCGACCGGCCTCCGCACATGCGCACAAATGTTCGGCCCCCGCGCATGCGCACAACCGTCCGGCTCCCGCGCATGCGCACAACCGTTCGGCCCCCGCGCATGCGCACAACCGTCCGGCCCCCGCGCATGCGCACAACCTCCGGCCCCGCGCATGCGCACGATTGCCCCGGCCCTCCCTGACCGTGGATGTGCCAAGTAGTCATGGTCCGCAGTAGCATCTTCAGCCTGGCTAGCTTTCTGAGAGAGGACAAACTGCCGTTTCTTAGCCCTCTCGAAAGCAGACTCTCTCATTGCCGGTGCAGTGAAGTCATTCCAGGCAAACAGGGAAGGAACAGCTTCACACTTTTAATCCGCTAACAAATTCCTCCGGTGTGAAGTGGCGGCTACATACGAAAGTGCGCCCCGTCTTTATGCAAAAGTCCGGTCCGTAGGGAACGCATGATAAGGCTGTTTTCTTGCCCCACATGAACAACCAGGGACTGAACAAAAGCAACTGCGCCGAGACTGAGCCATTTTCCTAGTCTTTTAATGCTAACACTATAGCCACCGAAAGTTGTCCAACCCCACATCCGCTTTCTAACCCGGGGAATCGTGAAAAAGGTCTATTGTAGAATCATACCCTCTTGACCGCTGGGTGTCACTGTTTTATATCTTTATTTCCCTTCACAGGAAGCCTGCGTGTTGCGCTTAAGTGTGAGCTTGACTGCTTGTTCCAGCTGGAGGGAGAGAGAGGAAGCCTGTTGTTGTGGTGTTTCTCACCGAGTCCAGTCTCCCCCCTTAGTCACGAAACATGACGGCGAGGAAGTCTGGATCACGACTGGAGACCGAGATAGAGCGCTGCCGCTCGGAGGGCCAGTGGGACAAGATACCGGAGCTGGTTCGGCAGCTGCCGGCGAAACTTATATCCAACGGTAGGAAGCTCGTCCCGCAGCGGTAGCATTATTCACCAGGCCTTCCTTCCACCCGGCCTGGGTCTTTCCTACTTCCTGACAGCAGCATCTCATAACGCAGGATGCTTTGCACTCCGTTTTGTTAAGAGGCAATAAAACGGTTCGAACTAAAGAGAGCGAATCAGAAATGATGTTTCCACGCTAGGTTGATTTCCACTACCACGCCTTGAATTTTAGGATATGACCTGGTCCGGGTCACCACTGTCCATTCAAACATGTGTGACATGCTCGTCCTGTACGGCAAGTAATTTAGTCGAGAAAGTTAAAGTGAAATGAGACAAAATAATGTTCTCTCTCGCTCCACATCCGTCGTTACATTGATTGATTTCTGGATGCTAGCGGGCTTCAGCACTTTGTGTTTGTTTTTAGTTTTACTTATCACATTTCGTTGGGGTTAATTAGAGCCGAACTATTCAGAATAAAGCGTTCACTAACTCTACGTCTCAAGCTTTGCTCTAAGCAGCGACGTCGTTCGCCGAAACACAAAAGTGACTTTCTGTCACTGACCTCCACCTGCTAACTCTTAATAGGAAGCGTTATGGTGACGTATCGTGATGTTCATATTGCGATACTGATGGTGTTGTTTACAAACCAGCATGCACAGGACTTTAGGAAAGAAAATGACAGATTTGCACAAGTTGCGAGGGTACTTTGGAGCCACTTATGTGAATATGTTCGAAATCCAAGCTGTTGGGTCAATCTGAAGGTTTTAGGTGGACTGGACCTTGTGTGGACTAGAATAAACCAACAGTAAATTAAAATTTGTGCATCAAAGTTTCGTTGTTTTCAAAATAGTTGCCATTTGTTTCATGGAAGGAGAACATCTTTCCTACAGTACAGCCATAATCTGCAATAACTCTTTAATTGAATGAGTCACAACACCATTTCATTTCCCTCTTGGATCAATTAAGTATTTTGAATTTTGAATCTGAATTGCGAGCGTTCGTGCTCTGAGGAGGGGATGGGACATTCTGGCAGCAGCTGTGAACTTTTACAATCTGCTCTGAGAAAAGCTTAATCTGGCAAAAAGATGAAGGAGAACTCCATTGACAGGAAAGCATCAGTCAGTTTCTGCTGACAGGTCTCCCTCCCTCTGTGTCACTTTACTGAGAAATAGTTCATGTTTTTCAGAACCTGAAACATCAGTCCTGATATGGACTTCCACAAATGAAAGGGTAGCATTTAAAACAGGATCTGCTGAAGTAAGGAGGCAAAAAGAGTCATAATGTTTCAGTATAACTTGTGTGTAAAACAAAGACCTGCAAAGTACTACTTTGAGTATTTACACAATCTTCTATAAAATGTGTCATTATGTTGCAGACTAAAACCAAGCTCTTGACTGAAGTTTAGTTTGGTGGAGCCTAGACTTGATGATTTTTAAAAATTTTTATGTCTTTATTTATTTTCAGTAATGCTCCTGTTGTGGAAATAAACTTGATCCACTGGAGCTTTGAGCACTGGTTTGTGACTAGGATCTATACTAGGATTAGGGAATGCTTCAGCTTTTCTTGGTACCTAATTCTTCCTGGTATTTGTGGTGTTTCTGTGTTACTTGTTAAAGCTCAGAATATTTTCTATCCTGTTAAATGGAGACCACTGACAGGGCATATTCATTTAAAAATTTATAATTTTGGATAAAATTGTCCCATTTATGCTTTTTTTTTCTTTCTGCTATTGTATTTGGTGCTTACACTACAGTTTTCTCTCCTTTGAAGTAACTTGTCATTTTTTTATTCTTCGCTAGTTGCTGTCGTTCTTAAAGTGCTTTGCCTTTCTGTGTATAAGATGATTTAGGTGAATTGCTGTTGGGAGAATCCAAGCTCCAGACGTACTTGAAAGAACATCCCATCAAACAGGGTTCGAGCCCCCGAGGCACACGGTCCAAACTGGTGGAGGTCAAGAAGCACCTTACGGCTGCTCTGGACCGAGGAAACCTCAAGGTAAACTCAGAAAAGAGCACCTGATGCATCACTGACTGGATGACTTTTTGTACAAATGTAACTCTTTCCATCTAACTTTTCTTCAGGCCGATTACCTCCAAGAAGCCAGCCTCCTGATGGCCAAAATCTGTTATGTTGAAGGAGAATACAGTGATGCTTTAGGTAATCTTTGTCTTTTTTTGTTTGATGCTTTCTGACTTTAAATGATGGTGTACAGAGCCCTCAGGGGACACGGAGGATTTTTTTTTTTCGTTTGCATTACCTTGCAACACTTTTGCGTTTCCTCGCAATATGCTCACTGCGGTATTTGCTGGTCTA